ACCAAATTTAAATGGGCTTACGCAAAAGAGTAGATCAGGGTGTTGTACTTGTCCCAGCTGACGGCCGAGAGTGGAAACCCTTCTGTCGCATGCCAACCTGCATACCAGGCAGCCGCGACAGGTTCATTGAGGGCAACGCTCGATGCAAGGGAAGCCGCCTTTTGCAGGACGGACAATACTGTCAGGGCAAGGATCGCAAAAGCCATCACTGAGCTAAGAATGGTCTGCGTCACTTCCCCTTCCGCGAATCTTCTAAGTGCTTATATACTTGGCTTCATCGAAGTTCGGGTCGTCTTTCGGCTCGCTCTGTGCACCATGCGAGCCATATGATCCCCTATGCCGTGATTGCAGAATTAGTCATGTTGCCAAGTCACGTCGGGATATTCTGGTCGAGTGGTGTCGGAGCAGAACGAGCTCGTGCAATATCTCATGAATCATTGGGAACTGGCGGGTCTGGGGAAGGGACCTTGGGAACATCGGCCTTTGATTTCAATATGATGGAAAAGATTCATACACATACCTGAGAAACGTGCATGCGTTCCGCGCGGCGCGCAATTCTAAATGGGTCCTCGAGGGCCGAGGCTATCTGTCCGGTTCGGAGCTTGAAGTTCTGGTAATAAAGCTTCAAGGAGTTGTCGTAGTCTGCATTTGGGGATTGCGGAATTGAGTGGTCGCTTCACTCAACTTTATGTAGACAATAGAAATAAGTGCAGGCGGACTGTGAGCATTAAGTAATTGAACTCGATGTTTTAAGCTCTAAACCCAAGATTACTGTTGAGAAAAATTCCACGTCTTCTAAATCGGACTTGCTGATTGCCCCCCTTTTTGGCGATGACAGAACGAGGATTACAATTTCATATCAGCCCCATACGATGATCCGTTGACCTCACTTTCGTCTGGCTGGGGTTCGACGCTACGGATAAATCGTGATACGAGAGAAAATCATAGTGAACTGCAGTGACTACTTACCGAGCTGGCTGCAGCAAGTCGACCTGATAAGGAGGCATTCACAAATACATTTGATAGCGGGATATCACTACCGTGATGTTAAACAAGTGACCATTTTAAGCATCAAGTCATTCGAGGTAACAGAGAGGATTGAGCTCCAAGTGTGCTAGCGGCAGTCCAAGGTGGAAGTAGTCGACCTTCGGAGGTGTAGATTCGATGATTACCACTTTGCTAGACATGCTTATCGAAGGATCCCAGGAATTTCCGGCACACAGTTGATACCATTCAGATGGTACCAACTTGCAAACTGTGCAACTTTCTGCGCAAAGCACGGTGGCAGGTTCTCCTGGTGAGATGGAGTCTAAGGCTATCCAACCGGCAATGCGACCTCGTTGCACGGCAGTGGCCTTGTATCATAGGTAGAGTAAGCCCTTTGGTGCTGCAATATTGTTTGCATTCTTCCGACCGAGTTGAAGATGGACACAAGATGAACGTTTTGTGTACAGAGTTAATAATTTAATAATAATATGGACCCACCTATTATGGTCAAAATATCACGTGCATCATTTACCGCGCACGGACCAAGGGAAAAGAGTATATAGTCCAACTGTCGATATTTTGAATCCTTAGAACATACTCAGCTAGGATCTATTTTATAGAAACTAACTCGAGTCTCGCATGTTTACACATGCCACATCCTTCAAATCCATTCGATGACATCCGCGCTCGCTCGTTCGACAGAGAACATGGTCTTCACTTCGGTGGGATCTCGAGGACGTTTGGTTCTGTACTTTGCCGGGCTGTTTGCAGCTCGGTGAGTCGGAGCCAACGAGTTGAGCGTCTGTCTGATGGATTTCCTTTTGTCTTATTTACTGTACCATATTAATAATGTTTACTGTTGCTCACAATGAATGTCGTCGAGTCTGAAACTTGAGTCATGCATGTTAAATAAAGTTGCCAAGCAGATGCATTGTTTTTTTTGTTAAAATGACATTGTTTGTGTTCAACTCAATCTCGGTTGCCAAGCTCAAGTGTGGTCTCTGAGATCTGATGGCAGCTCTTCCGTATTGTCGAAAATGCATTACACATCTGTTTGAGATGGTTGTGAACATCGATGTGGGCCGGTCCACTGATCTGTCGATTGTGAGACCACGTGACCGCGTTTTGGTTCGTATTCAACCCAGTACAAGCTTATAACCTTTACACCAACCAACCGCAACAAGATGCTGAGTGCACGACCTGCTGGTCTGCCTCTCGACACCGACAGAGGCATCTCCACCAAAACACCAGGTCGTGTACTCAACAAGACGCGTAATGTCCTCCAAGAGAACGCTGTGCGTAATGTCCCTATGACCGTCGTAGGTAAGGGGAAGAAGTTAGTCCAGAACACACCGCTCCAGTTGACGACGCTCCGTATGTACGTATTCATTCCACTGACTTTTGCTTAGCTTGTCCCAACAGAAACGGACCATGTGTTAAAAGACGCCCCTGGCAAGCAGATCGGTCCTTCTAAGTTGAAGGATACGCCTGCCGTTCGTCCCCTCGGTGACAAGACACCTTTTCCAAATCGCACCGCCCCCCAACTACCTGCCACTGGGACAAAGATAGCTAAACCTTCCTTGGTTGATGGGTCGCTCCGCCCGAGCTCTGCACGTAAGCATGATCGCTTGCCTCGCAGCGCGGGCAAGACCTTTGAAACTCCCATCACTGATGGTAAACACTGGGACGTGAGCGACATTGATATCGAAGTCGATGCACCTGTTGCAAGTCAGTCTATCGAAGAGGAAAGTTTTGATGAAATTGAATACATGGCGCCAAAGGTCGAGGGTAAGTCATTGTGATAAAATATAGAGCCTTCCAGGTGTTCACAACATGCTAGACGTCCCGTACGAGCCTCCTTTTGAGATGCCAAACTACAGGGAGGTCGGCAAAACCCTGATGGCCCTTATACGGTCATATTCCCTAGAAGACGATCCATCAAATAATGACCTCACCTTCACCGCTGACGCGTCTGAGAAACATTTCTTCGCGCCTCCTGTCGTTCCACAGCAAGAACTAGGTGAGCATAACCACAGGCAGAATCCACTGTTTATTGAACAACTTTTCGGACTGCGACATTCAGAAGATGACAGTCCTTTTGCTCGGACCAAACCGGAGCTAGAACTTGAATCGAAACAATCCTCGGCGACCATCAAGCAAAGGTCTTCCGTAACCAGCAAGCCCGCGGTACGCCTGGCAGTACGAGCTATCCCTGCGACCCGTACGATCACCCCGGCAAATTCCCGAGTATCACCCCCCATTAAACGACCACTAGCGGCATCGAGCGCTCGTTCTTCAGCAACTACAACAAGAACATCATCTTCTCAGCCAGTGACACGTGCCCCTACGTCACAATCCACGCTGCGTGCGCCAGCCTCGAGAGCGACAACGCGAGTCCCTTCAGTTGCGCGTTCAACGCCACCCGTCCGCACAGGGTCTGTTCAGCTCTCTCGTGCGACGTCCCTTTCACGACCCGCGGCAAAACCTGCCGCCCGGTCTACTGCGCCGACTGCTCCCGTCAAGGGTAAAACAGCAACGACTCAGCCCAGTACGACCATCCAAGCCACGAGGAACCCTGTTCCCCGTTCAACTAACATGGCGCCACCAAACAGCACGCGCCCCAGGTCGGGAACAATTACCAAGGAAGAATTCGAGTCGAATACGCACGTGGCCGTGCACATTAGAAACAATAGCTTGGAAGATGTGAAGAAGGATCTTGAGGGCCTCATCGTGTTCGAGGACGAGTTTGATGAGTTCCGGTTTGAAGTGTGAGGTGGATTGCAGGGCATATGTCCATGCATTCGGGGGCGTTGAATTGCGCACTCGAGATTCGATCTATGGTCATGGTATGAATATACGGGTGACTTCGATTTCCTCTAGCATTTTTTTTTCTTTTTCGATTGCATTTGTGCAGGTAGCATGTGACGTGGTACGATTGTATGTGCATACACTGAAATACCAAACTCGTAAATCTGTCCTCAGTGCTAGTGATGTTCGCTATGATATCATCACGAAGTGGCCACTTCGAGCCAGTGCTTCTGGCAGCATAGGATTCACTGGCAGAACGTTCTTCGGCCCACGATCCGAGTCAGTGACTTTCATTCGTCCCATTTTCGGTGTTCACAATATGCTAAATTTACGTAGTCTATGAAGAATAATACAACACTGCGGCCCGCATGATGATGTCTCGAACTCCAAGGAAGTTCGTATACACAGATTCCATGCACGATCCTGCTACTAACATACTCTAAAACTCGCCGTATCGGGTCACCACACAGAGCTCAGCCTAAAACCTAGAAACTCGAGCAGTCCACGATGACCTTCACGATTTTCACCCTGACATTCCTTTCTTTAACATTTTTGTCTATCCTCCAGGTGGTCATTGCCGATCCACGAACCCTTTGTCCAAAAAAACCTATCGCAGCTGGTTTTCCACTCTCGTCCGTCCCCTGGGATAAGTATAATACATTGACTTACGCTTTGCGTAAGCCTGCTTGCTTCGTCAGCCTCGACATCGGGAAGACAGCTGATCATTCCCCGGACAGCGCTACGACGCCGAGCGTTGACAATCTTTCATCGGACGGATCAGAACCATCCGTCTTCCCTGATTTCGTCAGTCAAGCACGTGAACACGTGAGTCGGTATAGTGATTGGGGTATGGATGGTCGCTTACTGAACAAATAACTTGAAGGGTGTTGCTGCACATATTTCAATCGGAGGTTCAGGGGGTGGTAATATCTATTTTGCAACTAGGCGACCCCGGAAAACCGCACTGCTTTCGTGCAGACTGTTGCAAATTTTGCAGATGAATACAACCCGGTGCCAATGGACTTTCGATCGAGGTGAAACAAGAAACATACTGCAGTTTGAAACCCATGCTACAGGGGCAAGGAATTGGTCAAGCAACGCTAATCCGTAAATGATGGCGTTGGTTGAGTTGATTGCATTCACAATGAAGAATAGCTACCTGACAGCAAAGCACCATCATATAACATCTAGTGGCGAAAAAAGTGAGGCCATGCCAGGACTCGAACCTGGGTCTTGGGAACATGTAATCAGAATCCCAAGTGATAACCGCTACACTACAAGGCCATACCGTGTGACAGTTAGCGAAAGGATGATGTCCCCTTCAGACTTCAGACTCCCGTCCCTAGGTGAAGTGAGAACCGTTTGGACCAGAGCGAACGGAGTATAGTACTACTACTCCATATTATTCCTATACGATGCCAATGAATCTGGGGAAGATTCGCGACTGTCAAACTGAACTTTCGGTGTGCAAGTGCCAAGTAGTCACAAGCATTTGCCGGGAGGACGCGATGCCGGCGGGGGCAACGATGGCCTGAGTTGGCACTGGCAAGATAAATGGTCCACCGCGCTGCAGAGCGCGTCAGGTTGGGTTAAGGACGCTTGGGTCAAGGTGGCTATCGTGAACAGACTTGGCGTCCGTAGTGAGAAAGTTCGAATCGCGCGCTAATCAATGGCTCCGAAGCGAAGGAAGTTCAAGGAAGGGTAGAGAAGTTCGACGTGAGCTTGGACGGTCAAGACCAGAAATGGCTGACACTCTGACACCGAGGGTCGCGCGAATGGTAGTAGTGGCGTGAATGGAGGACCAAGCAGTGTACTCCGATTCATACGTCCACCTCACCTCACTGGACAACCTTACGATGAGCACCAACCCCTCCCTCATCCTCATCGCCCGCAATTCGCGTGGACACAACAACCCATCTGCATCCCTCAGCTCACCCACTGAGACCCACGCCGCTGCTGCCGGCACATTCCGTTCCTCCGGTGGTTCACCCCCATGGCTACTCGAGGAATGCGACAATGATGAGCTCGTCACTGAGCTGAACCTCTACGAGTCCGATCAAGCCATAGAGATCGATGACACCTTCACCAGGCGCAACGGACGGTTCCCGGGCACCGTCAAAATCGTCGTCGAGAGCACCACATTCTGGTGAGTCAGCTGTCCTGCTCCACTTTGTTCTCCCGAGCATCGTTCTCATGGAAATTGGCGCTCATTCTCTTTCATAATGAAAGGGCCCACAAGGAAGTCCTGTTCTTCGCTTCGCCGTTCTTCGAGGCCGCCTTGAGTGGCGGATGGCTTGAGACGGGTCGTCCACCATCCATGTCCTCTGTGATTACCATTTCCCAGCCGCCCACTGTCCCTGGAAGCAAATCTAGTCCAGACCCGCCTACCGCAATGACATTTACCCCTGAAAATGATATTCATGATGGTGCCAGTGACACTGGGTCCAATTACTCCTCCCCTGTGGAGATCGAGAACCCTGCCACAAGCGAAAGCGACGCGGCTGAGAGTGAACCTGAACAAGTCGAATCCGCGACTTCGATGAGCAGCCGTCAAGCACGCGCTCGGGGATCAAGCCTCGCCAAGCTTCAAGGCTCTGGAGAGGCTAAACCGGAGTTCAAAGGCAAACACAAAGCGAACCTCTCAGCATCTCAGAACACCCTTGCTACCGTGAAACGACGTCGGCGTACGGACGAACACGATGCTGTCATTGTTCTAAAAGAAGAAAAGGCGTACATCTTTCACGATTTCCTGAAATTCGTGTACCCTCAGTAAGTTCATTGGTCGTAGAGCGCGTGCAGACCATCTGAACACGATGCAGCCTTCAATGCAACATATCCTGGAATAACGTCGAGGGCCTGATGAACATCTCACACAAACTCTGCGTTCCGGCGCTTCAGCAGGAATGTCTGACCTTTCTCCTCACCCACGCTGCTGGCAAGCCCATCAAAGCAATGCGTATCGCCGAGCTCTTCGAGGAAGAAGAACTTTATCGCGAATCAAGCCGCTTCGTGCTCGACAACCCCGGCGGATGGTCCGAAGAGGAATTGAGCACCCTCAGCCCAGAAACGCTCCTGAAACTCGAAAAACGGCGCGTCCTCGCCAACCTTTCTTGCTTGCTATCCCTCTGACATGGTCCTTTCCAGGCGTAATTGGTTCCTCGAACGCGTCCTGAAGCTTGGCTTGACGCCCCTTGCCAAGGAGTACCAATGTGTGCGTTCCCAGTCCTATCTCTGATATACCCCTGTGTCCTTACGTGTCCCAGTGTCCGACGTGTCCAGATCCTGCCAACTGTGCCCGTTTGCTGGAAGAAAAGTGGCGGCAGGCGTACAACGCTGTCTTTCGATTCGGTTCGTGTCATCGCGTCCCTTCACGCTTCCCAGCGTCCTCACACGCCTTCCTTTTCCGCGGCACGCAGGCCCCTGCCAACCCTCGATGGTCTACCGCTACCTCCGCAACCTCGAAGGCGTCAGTCCCCCGTTGTCGCTGACCCACCTCGTATGTCAGACGACCGCCAAGGCGTTTACAGCCACGCGTACGCGATCGCGTCCCCGCACGTCTCCATGCTGACCTTGCGGACAGTGTTTGACCGCATGTTTTCGCTCGGTCTTCGGAGCGACGCGACATCGCCACTCGGTGCACGCGTTGCCGCGGTTGCTGCGGCTTCTGGGCCTCGTCGGCATTTCCTGTACAGCACGCTCAAACCGGACAAGACTGTCCCCCGGACGCGTCGCTCTCGCGAGCTGCTTTGATCGCAGTGATGCGTCAGACTGCGCATCACGATTGCTCCACCGTCGTCCGATCTATACAAAAAAAGCCATCGCTATCGCTATCGTCATCATCGCCGCCCCCTCCAACGACCCGTGTATGATGGCTGTATCCTGACATCTCTGACATTTCTTCTCGCTCCAACGTTTGCTCTTGTGCGCAAAAATAGCATGTCTTTTTTATTTCCAGCTTCCTGTATCCTCTACACAATCTACAACTAATAATTGGTATAACCCAAAAAATAAAACCAACACGAGTCTGTGGGAGGCGAGTTTAACAAAAAATAAACGAATTCTAGCGACAACACAGGATGGGATATACTTTTATATCGAAACGAAGGAGAAATAGGAAACCGATAAGACCTTGGCAAAGATGGCAGATGAAGAGCCCCCTCGAAACGGCCACACGAGACGTAACGAAGGCTAAGCCGTATGAGAAAAGGGGGTTGGGAAAGGCCCAGGACGTGGACACGACTGTCGGTACGAAATAAAAAAAAGTTCGAATCGTCGTCCGGCCAAATCCCAGAAATACTAGGGAGGGAATAATTTAGTTGAAACAAACGAGGGTCATACAGCAACGGTCGAATAGAAAGAAATACAATAGGATAAGAACTGTCGACGTCGTGCCAATATCGATCATATTTGGAAGATAGTGGGGGCGTTTTCCACGAGCCACTCCACCATCAGCGCTTTCCCAGCCATGTCACTAAATTCCGATCCAGGGTCTCTCGACCACATCAGTGTGGCTAAGCAACAGGGGTGAGCAACCAGGATTAGACATGTTACGATCCGAATGACCGGTACTTACGTCCAAATACAACGCCCAAATTGCGCGCATTCATCAAATTCATGTCGCTGTGCTCTCGCACGCTGCGGAGTCAACGTCACCGGTTGCAGCTTAGAAACCCTATAGGCTTTTGGCAAGATGCTTACCGATGCAAGTGAAGTACGAGGTACCGCAGCGTGTGATAGTGTTCGGGCGGAAGACGGCTGACAAGCTCTTGAAGGTGTTTCATTTTGAGCGCTGGGTCTTTGAGTCCGGCTGCCGCGATGAACTCTTCGTGGAGATCAAACGTCAGCAACGGGACTGGAAGCGAGCGGAAGTAGGTCTTGAGCACAGAGGTCACTGAACAAATGTCGTTGAATCGGTCGGTATCCCTGAGGTCAAAGGCTGTGTAATCTCCTCGGTCGAAAAGTTGTGTGATCATTTTGGTTTGTCCCGTGCCCCCTGTCTTGCGGTAAACCCCCTCAAAGTCAAGTGCTGTAGACACGTCAACATGTGTACGCATGACTGAAAAAGGGACTCACCCAATGTCTCCACTGCTTCTATACATTTCTCTACAATGACGGGAACCTTGCGTTCGCCCCATCGCAGGTCAGATCTGACCTGCTCAATGAGATCACGACCAAATATCGAGGGAGCTAGCAAAGCATGAGCCACTAGCAAATTCACATCATTTCAGCAGACATACAGTGTTGTACAATCCCGTTCAAGTCTTCCCGCGGGCGCAAATGTTGCTGAGAGCACGGCAGGTTGACTTGATTCACGCATCGTAAATGAACGTTAACGTGGCATACTAAGATACCGTTGAGCGCTAAGAAAGGAGTGTACGCCAACACAACTCACTTGTGCAGCGGTAATGCGAACCACCCCATAACTTCTCTCCACAGTGATCACAGCGCGTAAACCGAAGGGCGCTCGCGAGCTGGAAGTTATGTTCAACAATACCCTTGCTCTTGGGATCCGAGGTAGTGAGCGCCTGATCCCTCATCCGGTGGCCTGGCCACTTGAATATGCCATGTTTGAGGGTGGACATGCCCTCGGGATGTTCGGGTTTTGCTACTCGGATCATCTTGGTATCACGATCATCGACGAGCGTAGACGTGCTTGGATTTGAACCTGAACTAAGCGAAGGTTGTAGTTGGTTCGAGAGATCCAAAGTGGGTCGACCGCGATCAAGCGAGGTGCTCTTCTTTTCGTGCAATATAGGCTCTACTTTTACAGCAGGAACATCCAACGCTGGCGGTGTATCGGGCCTGACAACCTCCACCCTTCTAGTGTATTGAGCACTGAGTTGGGCCAGTTCCTCGTTCCTAGCGTTAAGCACTGTAGTCTCTTCCAGGAACTGTTCGCGCGCCGACTTGAGTTCAACAATCTCTCTGAGGAGGGTGTCACGTTGTTGGGTGAGTGGTATCAGTTCGCGCTGATATTGCTTCTTGATATTGTCCAGCCGCATGGTTAATGAACGACTTAGTTGGGCAGCCGAAACATCGCCCGAAGATACATTGCCAGAAGCACTGTGTACCAGTGAGCTTTGCTGTGTGTGATGGCAGATAACGCCAGAATCCATACCTCTTTGAGGAGCACAGCTCTTCGACCTCTGCTAACGTAACATCTCGTTCGGCCTTCAATTTGGAAAGATCCCTTTCCAGTCGATCAAGATTTTTATTGAGCTCCTCTGAAAGTTGTCGCCGCGCCTCCCGTCTACTGGTTTCACCCGTCAAGGCGGTCAGCTTGG